AGGGCTGTTTTAGGCTAATATTAATTATGACCCAATGATAACTTTTAAGAAAAATAGAAGAGGAATGAACTTTGAGAAATAAATCTCAGCAAAGACTATACGAATAATTTCATATCATCAAAACTTAGGCATATGAATGTAATCAGTTTCATCAGTGATCACTGAGGGCATGAGTGAATAAATACCTTTAGAATTTGTTTAGAATAAATAGACCCCTGGTCTTTTCATTTATGAAACCCATTGAACTGTGGCAATAAAACTGTGGTAGATATAAACAAGCTTGTTTAGGCAACATAAAAGTCACAAGAAATTGTAGCTATTTTGAAAGATTGCAGCTTGAGCAAAACAGTCTTAGTTTCTAAAATATTTAGATAATTACTCTTTTAATTCTTAGTTTACATTTATTTTTCTAATGACCATCAAGACCGAAAGTTCTCATAAATAGGGAAAAAGAGTTGTTTTCATTACCTTTCTGCATAGTTTGATCTTCAAAGTTGTTAGGAGATTAAATTAAAATGGTTTTATTTCAGGACTTCAGTGGGTGTATGTCATTCCTGTGGATGCTACCTCTAATGATTTAAATTAGACCTCTTCATGTTCTCTCATTCTACATGACTCTTGTCTATGTGCTTTCATAAATCTTCAATAGTGGGTCTACTGAGCATGATAGAGGACCTCTTTTAGGTCATTTAATTATGCTCATAGTAAGGCAGCACTCATTACTCATATGCTTATGTTATTCCTTATTCTGGTTATGCAATTTCTCAGTTCATCTCCTCCAGAATATCTTTTTTAGTACATTTATTGTATACAGGTCAATATTTGTAACATATTACAGTCTATATAAGCTTATCACGTACCTCTCTATTACACTTTGGGCCCTCCACAATTTTCATGTGTCAGAGACTATGGTGTAGAATGATTCAAAGCCACAAAGAATCATCCAAAGAATACTGATGTTAAAAAGAGAGGTTTTTTGTTTAAGAGAACAACTTGAGAATCATTGAAAGCATTGTATAATTTCCCTAAAGTGATCTAGCTCATTCATTCTTATCCTATTAAATTCTTTTTTTCTTTTTTTTAAAGTCAGTTGGGGTTTAATGACTTGCCCATGGTCACACAGCTAGTAAATGTCAAGTGTTTGGTTTGAGGCCGAATTTGAACTCAGGTCCTCCTGACTTCAGGGCTGGTGCTCCATCCATTGCACCACCTAGCTGCCCCTTTCCTATTAAATTCTGATTGGGCCTAGCTTATTTGCACATTGTCAGTGTCGGTCCAAGATACGCTTACTAGATACACTGCATATTGTAGGCTCAACAGTAGGCAGTCTCCATATACTTAGTTTTTCCTATATGGATTTTTTTTTTGGTGAGGCAGTTAGGGTTAAGTGACTTGCCCAGGGTCACACAGCTAGTAAATGTGAAGTGTCTGAGGCCAGATTTGAATTCAGGTCTTGTCTTCCTGACTCCAAGGCCAGTGTTCTATCCACTGCACCACACCTTGCTGCCCCAATATGTAATTTTCTTTCTTTCTTTTTTTTTGGTAAGGCAATCAGGGTTTAGTGACTTGCCCAGGGTCACACAGCTAGTAAGTGTCAAGTGTCTGAGGGCAGATTTGAACTCAGGTCCTCCTGACTCCAAGACTGGAGCTCTATCCACTGCACCACCTAGCTGCCCCTCATATCTGGATTTCACATTGGTTCAAACTCTCTTGAGTGCTTGTGGATCTCACTTATTAAACTTCTCAGTGTTCTAAGGCTTAGTGCAATTAACACAATGTCACCCATGAACAAAAATATCTGGAATATTTTACCATGTATAGGGAACTTTTCCATTTGGGTCTCTACCCTGAATGTCATTTACACTTGTGCCTGTCAAGGAATCTTGTGAGATCTTATAATGTCCATGAGAGGCATCTTATTGGATTACATTTATTTTCCTATGGTTTCAAAGAATAGAATTGCTAGTGGAAATGGGAGAAGAATAAAGATGTGTCTTGTTCTATTCAATTAAATGACTTTAAAATAATAATAACCCCACTAAGATCTTGTATTTTCTCTATTTTTCAATTGTGTGAAAATAAACCTATAGTCTGACCATTTGCAAAAGCCTGCCTCTTTATATTTTCATTGAAGATATAGTTGGTGCATATATAGATAGATTATTAGAATAAAATTTTTTATCACTAGAAGATAGGTATATATGTGACTACTTATTGATATCATCACTCTTTTTGGTACTAATAACATTTATATATATATGTATATATAAATATATATATACATATATATGTATATATATAAATATATATATATATATATATATACACACACACACATATATTTTCCCCCCAATCTCTTTATCTTCCTCAGTTTCATTTTTGAGAGTCTTTCCCACAGTGACCTCAAAATTGTGCTGCATTCAGCATGGGTTAACTCTGTCTATTTGCTCTAGTTTAGGTCCTTTTTTTAAGGGACCATTTCCACTTTCCTATCATATATGGCCTGAGAAAATACAAATATAGTAGTCCTCAGTAGTCACAGATGAAGAAAAGAGTTTATTGTAGAAATGTTGACAGGTCTGTTTCATATTTAATCTACTTATAATTCCTCTAGGTTAACCTTCAAATGTGTAGCTTATGATGATCTAGTTTATTTTAATCCCATACTAAGCTTTCTACAATTTCATTCTTCCTTCTACTTGTTTATGAGGACATATTCCTAATAACTTTACGCCATTCTTCTCTGTGAGGTTTTAACATTTTTCATTCTTGGTTACTGTATTTTTCTCCTTGGGAAGGAGATCAGTTGCTTGCTAGTTGTGGCATTTTTTGGGCTCTCTTGGCCTTCTCATTGTGGTAACTGATTTATATTAGTTAAGCTTCCATAAGAAGCAGTAGTAATCCATGTTTCCATATTTTCCTTGAACCATTTCCCATTTTGTTCATTATCAATTGCTTGTTTGAATAGATTTGGTTGGAAATGTTATAATTTATGCTGTATCTTAATGTAAGCTTATTATTTTAAAATAATTTAAAAAAATTATGAGGGGCAGCTAAGTGGCACAGTGAATAGAGCTCTGGCCTTGCAGTCAGGAGGACCTGAGTTCAAATCCATCCTCAGACACTTAACACTGGCTGTGCGACTCTGGGCAAGTCACTTAACCCAGACCGCCTCACCAGAAAAGCAAAAAAAAAAAATTATGAAAAATTTTATTTCAATTTTAACTTAAAATGTAGAACACTAGCTCTTGTCAGAGGTCCTGGGTTCAAATCCTGCCTCTATTTAATTGAGGAGTAAGGGGTGAGGAAGGATCAATAAAGCTGATGCACTCCCAAAAGAGGACCATTGAAACAGTCTTTAAGAATGCATAGAAGGAAGTTATTATATGCTGTTTTTTTTGAAGCAAGGTATGAATTGGAGACTTCTTGTTCAATTCTCTTGTGTTTTGCTGTGTACATATGAATTCTGTCTGTTTCTGCCTTTACTTGTGTCTATCTCTGTAATTCTCTCTGCTGTTGTCTCTGTCTCTCTTAGTTTCAGAATAAAAAAAATAAACTTTGGCAAGGCAATCTGGGTTAAGTGACTTGCCCAGGGTCACATAGCTAGTAAGTGTCAAGTGTCTAAGGACAGATTTGAACTCAGGTCCTCCTGACTCCAAAGCTGGTGCTCTATCCACTGTGCCACCTAACTGTCCCTCATTTTTATCTTAAAGAAAGAAATGGAAGGTGGTGGACACTAGGAACCTTAAGGGTTTAAAGTCATATCTATTCCTAGGCCTCATTTGATGGGTGTAGGGGTTCAGCAGCGTAGAAACAGTGGGGTTCCCTCTGAAGCCCTCTAGTATGTAGCACCACAAAAGCTTTTAGCCAATGGTACCATGATGTGAACACAGAAACATAAAATTTAAAACCAAAAATTATAGATCCTAGTCATGGAGTTCCATTAAGGAGGGAGGAGTGCCAGGGAAAAGTAAGTAGTGAATTTTAGCGTCCTGTTCCTCTCTTCTGTCAGCATATTGACAAGACGAGAGCAGCTGTGGTCCAAGACCTCCTGCCTATTGCACAGTACTTCAACAGACACCTCAGAATCTCTTACCAATAAAGTTTCCTTGATTTATTCATTTTTTGAAGGCCATAATATACATCTTAACTTACCCTGCTCCCCCAAATGCAAGATTTGACTTAGAAAAAGTCAATGTGTTTTACATTTTATGTAGTGGCTATAGTCCAAATGAAATAATCTGCTAAAGTCATTTAGGAGTTGAAGACTTTAAGTACTGTTCCTCATTGTTTCTTTTACAACTGAGTTCTAGGACCAAAGAAAGAGGGGAACAAAAAAAAATGGCAAGCATTAATATTTTTGGAATACACAAACTTTAACTCATACCCTAGTTACTCAATACCAAATTTTGTAAATACTCTTTTTTTCCCTTGCCTACCCCAAATAGCCTCTTGCATCACCAGTGAATAGTTGGCAATTGGTCAGTTCATTTTAACCTTCATCTGGAAAGGCTCCTTGGAGATGAACCTCAGGGATTAGTAAGACTGTGTTGTCTTTAAATGGCTGGAATTTATTTTTGACTTGGTACTGTCAGTATTGAAGTTGAAGTGTGTGTGTGTGTGTGTGTGTGTGAAATATTCATACATATATAGATATATATATAGAATATTGCAGAGTAGGTTCTGCCTTTCATTGATTTGTTCACCGAAGAAGTTTTCCTTTAACAGGAGTTCCCTGGAAGATACGAGGTCATGATTAGTGTGAACAATGAACCCCCCTGGGCATGGTAGTATGTATAAGAATTTGCACCATACAAAGTTAAAATTTTATGTAAAGAATGGTAATTAGTTCCAGCACAAAGAAAATACACTGTAAATTCCAATAATTCAACCACTTCTGGGGTTTCTTGTTCCTAGTAATTAAGACCTAGCTGTAAAATCAAAGATCTGATCCTAAGTATCAATTTATTCTAACTTGACATTTCCCTTTTTACCTCTAGGTATGTGGCTGCATCATCCTGGGAGTATCAATATATGCGCGTGTCAGCAAACATGGTCAAGAGGTAAGTTAAAGCTCATTCCCCACAACTATTCCATTCTTGTTTGTAGAAATGACTGAGAGCAAAATTCTATTCTGAGTGTGAACAAATAAATGAGATCCCCTTCAGGAATCCTTTAAGTACATTCTATATCTTTTTTTTTTCAAATCAACAAAATGCAAAAGTATATTTATATATAAAGCTAGATGATGTAGTGAATAAAGTGTTGGACTGAAGATCTGAAGTCAAATGTGGCCTTCAGTCACTTGCCAGCAGGGTGACCCATATCATGTCACTTAAACCTCTCGGTCTCAGTTTCCTCATCTGTAAAATGGAGATAATAATAGTACCTACCCTCCAACGGTTGTTTTAAGATGAAATGAGATATTTGTTAAGCACTCTGCAAACTTGAAAAGTCTATATAAATGCTAGCTACTAATAAGCAGTAGTTGAATGTTGAAAATATGCCCGTGACATGTGGAACTAATAATACAGTCCTGAGGAACAGATTGGCCACGGAATGGTCCATTTTGGTGACTATAATTCCCATAAATAACCTGAAGTAGAATGTGTAAGTCTTTTGAGGGCAGGGATTTTTTCTTTTATCTTTGTACCTGTAACACCTAGCACAGTGGCAAGTGTTTAGTACACGCTTATTGGATTAGACTGGGTTGAATTGGAAATGCCATAAGATAACCTTCCTCAATAAACCTATGAAAATATAAGCAAATGATTACTCTCAAGTCATTTTGCTAGGGAAGATGCCAATAGGGGATAGAGAGGATATTATCTGTTATCCAACTGTCCCTCTTGTACTCCATCTTGGCCCTGAGAATCATTTATTTCCCAGATTCAGACCCATCAGCACCTAGTTATAGAGACAGAACCAGAATGTTTTTTGTTGTTGTTGGTTTTTTTTTTTTTAAAGTAAGGCAATTGGGGTTAAGTGACTTGCCCAGAGTCACACAACTAGGAAGTATTATATGCCTGAGGCCAGATTTGAACTCAGGTCTTCCCAACTCCAGGGCAGGTGCTCTATCCACTGCCCCACCTCGCTGCCCCTAGAGTGTTTTTTAAATAAATACATGACATTACAGGAGATGGTTGGATAGTGATAGTTCTATTTACATGTTTTTCCCCTAGTCAACCAACCCTGGTTTCCTGATGGTCTTACATGCTGGGTGTGAGCCTAGGGAAGGGTGCTTGGAGGTTATAGAGTAAAGAAAATATTTGAGGACTAACTTAAAATCAATAACTGTCCTAGAGATGATAAATATCCTGGAGATAACAGGTATCCACTGTGAGGGGGGACTGTTATGGGTTATGGGAGATGAATGTGGACTGCTTTTTCATGGGAGGTATTAATGATATGAAAACATTATTCACTTCCTCCTCTTTCACCAGTTCTTAAGATTTTCCCCCCCACTATTTCTTGTTAATGAACAAATTTTCTGTTTAGTCTGTTAGTATATCACATCTGCTTAATGGATTAAATAAGGATTTCTGTCCTTGTGAGGCTGTGACTAGCTTGGCAGGTGCTTTCTCATTTATCACCTGCCTCTCTTCCACTCCAGGCCTCAAGATTCTTATCTAAAAAATGTTGGGTTTTCCTAGATAATTTCTAATGCCAAAACAGATTTTTATCAAGACTCTAGAATTAGATTAATTCTCACATGATGCTCATGACCACTACTGAGCTAACACTGAGTCTCTAGGAACAGGAGAGCAAGTCCACACTAAGACACTTGCTGCTGAACAGATTTTGGTGGAGGAAATAATAGCTTTAGTAGAATTCAGCAACAACAAAAAAACTTTTCTTTTTTAAAAAAAAGTCATATTTTAAAGTGGTAGGGGTTTAGGAAAGATAGACTGATATAAAATCATGAAATCACAGGAAAGAAGAAAAGTTGGAGGTGGAGAATTTCTCTTTTCTAGGACATAAATTTTATGGTCTCTCCATGCCTGGGATATTCTTCCTTCTCATCTGTACTTCCTGGTTTCCTTGAATTCCTTCAAGTCCCAGCTAAAATCCCACCTTCTACAAGGAAGCCTTTCCTAATCCTTCATTCCAGTGCCTAGCCTTTGTTAATTATTTCCAGTTTATCTTGAATGTAGCTTAGTTGTACGTGATTGTTTGCATATTGTCTGTTCTTTTATTTATTTGTTTGTTTTGGTATGCCCAGTGCTTAGCACACTACATGGTACATAGTAGTGACTTAATAAATGTTTGTTGACTGGTACTATTCCAAGAGACTCTTGTTTTCCCTCAGGACCACCTCCATAATTACCAAACAGATCACTTTCACTTTATTAGAGCTTCCTTGATCTCAGGACATCTTGAACAGATAGTCATTGACCACCCCTTAACTCAGACCACTCATCTCTGCTTAGAAATTCTGTCACTGATCTCAGACCCATGCTTTTATATGGAAGCATGAACAGGGTTTAGTCAAAAGAAAACTTAAAATACTCCTGTTCTTTGGGGGCAAACCTCTTCTTTCTTTTCCACTTTTATTTGTATTCATTCTCCCCATTCTACTAACTCTTGGGACAGTCAATGAACACCTTTTTTTTTTTAAAAAAAAAAGACCTTTTTCTCTCCACCCAACTTTCTCTGTGGGGTCAGGTGACCTTCTAGCTCCATACAAAGTTATGACTAGTATTTAACCAACAATAACTTTATTGCCAGGTGAAAGTTAAACCCATGGTTTGTAAAGAAGGTATGTTTCTTAATTAGACCAATTCCCATTCATTGCTCTCCTCTAACACTCATGATCGTCTCAAGAGGGAAACCCCATAATTAGATATAGTGCTCTAATGAAGTAATGACCAGTCATGAGCATCACATGAGAATTAATCTAATTCTAGATTGTTGATAAAAATCTGTTTTGGCATTCCACAATGGAAGGGGGACGTTAGAGATTATCAAGGAAAACCCAACATTTTTTAGATAAGAACCTTGAGGCCTGAGGTAAAGGAGGGGCAGGTGATAAATGGGAAAGCACATCTCAAGATAACAGCCTAGGCGGGTTGAGAACTTATGGTCCATTATTCCCTCCTCCCACGCCCCCACCATGTTTCCTCTCTGGCTGTGGAAGAAGGAAAGACTAAAGACATTTAAAATTTTTACTTACACACACACGTAATGATATAAAGTACCATCATCAGTAGCAGCAACCACAATAAGAAACAACAAAAGCAATTTTTAAGTATATCAAGGCCATGTGAAATCATGTGTGGCATAGTAGACAAAGAACTAGCCTCAGAGCCAGGAACACCTGGGTTCAAAGCCTGGTGGAAAGAATTCTTCACTGGTAATTCACTCGTATGAAACACCAAAGAAATCATAGGCATGATTTAATTTTTTTAAAAGGTCAAAGTACTGATGGAAGATATTAAGGACAATGGATTCTCAAGGTATAGAGAAGGGGAATTTTATGGTACTTTGAAAAGAATTTCTACTTAGGTACAAAAATATCTTGAAGGAAAATGCACCATGAAGCCTGTCTAGAATGCAAAATGGTGGTAGTGTAAAGAGAGCACTAACCTAGAAGTTAGTGCCACTGGGTGCTAATTCGATTTCTGTCAGTTACAAGCCTAGACAAGTCACCTCATAAGCCTCAGTTTCCTCATTTCAAGTTCAAATCCTGCAAGCATTTACTAACTCCTTACTACAAGCAAAGGTACTATGCCGGATACTGGAATGACAATGACAAAGAGTGAAATGGTCTCTACTTTCACCTGCAAAATGAGGTGATTGGGCTAGGTGGTTTTCTCTTGGGATCACTTGAGTTCTTCCCAGACCCTGGGCCCTAAGGTGGTTGAATAGGTCTCATGACTTAAGTGAATCAAAGTAGATGTTATGGACACCTGGAACATCAGGTATTGTTTTATTATTATTATATTAGGGGTATTATTCTTTGACTGATTGGTTTAATGAACTAAATGTCTGCTGTGTGCCATTACAAATTCCATGTAAGTCAGAGCCAAGAAAGGGGTGTAGCTCTTTAGAACTGACTGACTTCTCATTTTCATGGGAAGTTGCTGTTGTTACCAAACTAAGCTTTTCCCAACGAATGGTGGAAACAGGAAGAACAATTGCAAACAGAAATCCTTTTTAAAGTTTTTGTCTCTTTACTATTTTTATCCAGCAAGGTAGCTGGCATTTATATAGTGCTTTAAGATTTTCGAAGTACTTTTACAAATATTATGTACTTTCATCCTCACAACAACCCTGGGAGGTAGGTGGGCTATTAATTATGTTTATTTCATTGATGAGGAAACTGAATCTTTAAATTTAAGTAACTAGCTCAGGGTCACACAGATAGTAAAAGTCTGAGACTGGATTTGTACTCAGGTTTTCCTAACTCCAGGCCTGGCATTCTATCCACTGTACCACCTAGGTATCTCTGTAAAAGATTTTTTTTTAATTTTGCTAACCAATTCATGGATTTGGTGTCACCAAATCTTGAGCTTATGCTCAAGTTGAGTATATAACTGGCCTGATATATGACTCTAAGTACCAGATCATAGGAACTAAAAATTACATTAGCTATAGTGAAATTGTTTTCAAAGCTTTCCTAGCCAACGAAGCTTTCCTATTCAACTCCAGTAAAGGTGATGATGATAAAAGCATTTATCTATAATGCCCTAAGGCTTAAAGTGCTTTGCAAGTTTCTCATTTTTGTCCTCACAACAACCCTGTGAGGTAGTTGTGCTTATTTTCTTTTTTTATAGATAAGGAAAGTGAGGCATACAGAGATTCAGTGATTTGCCCAGAGTTCCACAGCTAGTAATAGTCTGAGGTCAGATAGGAACTCAGTTCTTCCTGATACCCTGGGTCCAATTCTATCCACTGTACCGCTTAGCTGCCCAAAAGTGTTTGTGGGGGGTTGGGGAGCATGCTTGGCAAATTATTCATCATTTGAATAGCTTGAGGTAAGAGCTATCTTGTGCCTAACTTGTCTTTTGTCTCCAGATCATCAATGAAGACACATCTGGAGTCAACGTATTTGCAGCTGTAAATCTCTTGATAGCTGTGGGCACCATTATCATGGTCCTTGGTTTCCTGGGATGCTGTGGTGCTATGAAAGAGAGCCGTTGCATGCTGCTCTTGGTAGGTATCCAGGCCCCAGTCTCTGTGCTGAATTTTGGGAAGTCTGATGATGCTTATCTTTCCTTCCAATCTTGCCAAGGAATCTTGCCAAGATCTATGCAGTCCTTATGTTTGTATTTAAGGACAGAATCTGGAAGTTGAGATATCTGAGATCTTTTACATGGAAAGATTATTGGAACAGAGACCTGTGAAAACTGTCTTTGGCTCCAGTTCCCAGGTCTTGCTGGGTTGTGTAGAGGAAAGAGTGCTGGACCTTGGATCAGGAAGATCTGAGTTCAAATCTAGCCTCAGACACTTACTAGTTGTGTTACCCTGGGCAAGTTACTTAACCTCAGTTTCTGCAACTATAAAATGGAAATAACAATAGCCTCCCTACCTCTTAAGGTTGTCATAAGGATCAAATGAGGAAATAATTGTAAAAGTGCTTCATGTAATCTCTGGCATACAGTAGGTGCTATATAAATACTCATTACATGTTTCAATAGTATTTCACACTTTGTACCAGCAATTGCTTTCAACTTACATTGTTTAAAAAAAGACCTTGTGTTTAGAATATTGTGGCAAGCTTAATAAGATGTAATTTAGGAGAGATACAGGTAAAGTCATTTGTAGGAGATCAGGGGATTATAGATTTAGAGCTAAAAGGGAAGCCGGGGCATTTAGTCCCTTGTCTTCATTTTATGGATGACAAAACCCAAGGCCCAGAGTCTCAGGTGTGATAAATGTCAGAGCTGGGATTTGATTCCAGGTTCTCTGATCCCATTCAGGGCTCACTTCCTGCTGTGTTGTTGAGTGATTTTTTTCAGTTGTGTGACTCTTTGTGACCCCATTTGGGGTTTTATTGGGAAAGATACTGATGTGGTTGGCAGTTTCCTCCACCTTATTTAAGAGTTGAGGAAACTGAGGCAAATAGGGTTAAATGATTTGCCCAGTCACACAGTAAGTGTCTAAGGCCAAATTTGAACTCAAGATGAGTCTTCCTGACTCCAGGCCCAGCACTCTAACCACTGTTCCACCTAGCTGCCTCACATTAATTTAGCAATATCTTAATTTATTTTCCTTCAAAAGATAGTCTTTTAAGATTTACTTCTTATTGTTCTAGAACTTATGATGTAGGTAAGGTGAAAGTTAAGTTAAACTCATCAGACTCCAGGCTTTTTACTTTTTTTTGGTAAAACGAAGCTTGTTCATGGGGAAGGGCCTCTGCAGCTTTCTTTTTCTGCCTTTTTAAGCCCTAGGAAAAATTACCTTTTAAAATTTTATTTTAACCATTTACCTTATCAAATTTTTATGTAAATGTGACTCAGGGTTGCATCATTCTCATGAACTATGTAGATGTTGGGGAAAGGGGGAGGAGAGGAAGCATATCTATGAATTTCAATCTATGAATTTCATTTTTGCAATTAATCCCCAAACTTTGACCTACAGTTTCAACCTTCACTTTTGTCGATCTATTCCTAGAGCTAGTAGGGAAACCTAATGATACATTTTGGTTTCATTCAATCAATCAACAGACATTTATTAAACCTTTACCATGGGCCAGATACTATGCTTCTTCAATGCAATGTCTTCTTCTGTCAAACTATTACTGAGCAGTGAAATAGGAAATAAAACAACCCACATTTTTAGGGGAAGTAGAAAGAAGTGAAAAGCGACAGGTTTGTTGATATACCATTTGTTGAGCCATAGTGTCCTGAGTTGACCACGACCTGACGTCCTTGTCAGGTTAGAAAGATCTTGGATTATTATCGGATTATTATTAAATGGGACTATTGTTTGCTATCTCTCTTTCCTCTCCAGTTCTTCATCGTGTTACTTCTGATTGCGATTCTTCAGATTGTCGCAGGTATATTAGGCATTGTCTACAAATCCAAGGTGAGTACATAGAAAATGGATGATGTTATGCAAAACCTGTGGTGTTAATACTGTTATGGCTCACTTTTTATATTTTATTTTATTGTCCAGTTTGAAGAATCATTTAAAAAGAATTTCCAGGAACAGGTGAAAACTTTGGTCCAAGATGGCGCTGATTATGAAATATTTAAAAATGACTTGGACAAATTTCAAAAGGAGGTAATTGGAGAGTTTTATTGGAGATTCTGGGAGTGAGGCATGGATTCTTCTCAGCTTTTCTTGTGTGTCGTTTCTAGAGGAGGATCAGAATGTTCGTTTTACAGATTGTAGGGTAGTCTATGATCAGACTGAGCTTGAGTGTAGGGACTATCTTTTGCTTGTCTTTGTATCCTTAGTACTTAGCATAGTGCCTGGGAACTTAAAAAAAATGTTAATTCACTGACCTGTGGAAGAAAAAGATGAGCAATTACAATCCATGATTTCTTTAGGTGGAAGGGGGACTATTTAATTTTTATCTCTACATCCTGTGTACAGCACCTTGTACATGGCAGGATATTAAAATTTTATGGAATTGAAAACGATGAATACAGGAGTTCTTAACCTGAGACCAATAGTAGGGGTCCATAGATAGATTTCTGTGGGCAAACTTCAAATGGGAAAAAAGTACATATTTTTCACTAACCTCTAATTGAAATTTAACACTTCATTCAGTAATTTTACGAATGTTATTCAGAGGAGCAGTTAGGTGGTAAAATGTATTCAGTACTGGCCCTGGAGTCAGGAGGATCTGAGTTCACATCTGGCCTCAGGCACTTATGGAATGGAAAAAAAGTGTTATTCTGAGACTTTATCTGACTTTACGGCTGAAAGTTAAGAACCTCTGTTTCAGAAGAAAGTAACTGTAAAAAACATATTTTCATTTTTTTATTTAAACTTTAATTGGACCAACTATGTGTTATAAATCTTTTTTTAAAATTTTTTTTACTTTTGGTCAGGACCTGTGACCTTTTTTTTTCTTTTTGGTGCGGCAATTAGGGTTAAGTGACTTGCCCAGGGTCACACAGCTAGTAAATGTCAAGCGTCTGAGGCCAGATTTGAACTCAAGTCCTCCTGGCTCAAAGGCTAGAGCTCTATTCACTTCGCCACCTAGCTGCCCCTGGACCTGTGATTTTTATCAGGGTGGAGAGGCCCCTTGTGAGTATTTTTTGATACTGCTAGGTGGGGCTGTAGTATGCAGAGCACTGGGCCTTGAGTCAGGAAGACCTGAGTTCAACTCTAGCCTCATATACTAGCACTTACCTTCCACGGTTCTTGTGTAAGGATCAAATGAAATAATATTTGTAAAAAAAAGCAATTTAGCACAGTGTCTGGTGCATAATAGGTACTTTATAGATGTTTATTTCCTTCCTTTTCTCTGCACCTCCCCAAATAGGTCAACAACTATTTGGCTATCCATAATCTTAAAGAGTTGTCTGAGGACAGTAAAAGGTTATGCCTTGCCAACAGTCACGTGTCTCAGGAAGGACTTTTGAGTCCCGGTCATTCTGATTTTGAGGCCAGGTCTCTGTCTATTATGCAAAGCTGCCTTTCAAAAGTTTTATTAATACATAATGGTTAAAACCGTAAAGTTTATTGATTTTAATACTTTTTATCGTAAGCTTAATTAATTTCATGGAGATGGTTTGGAGTTGGGACTTGTAAATTCATCCCTGTGTGGAATCCTTAGTATGGAAGGTTCCTCTAGTTGAGTTCCTTGAGGCCTAAGTCCCAGTAAGCAAGAGCTGGTAAAGCACAGCCTAGGGAAGGCAAGAGCTGGCAAATCAAGTGGGTCTAATACTGGAAAGGCCTCCAGAGCACAAAAGAAGACTCTGGAACAAAGCTAGCATGCTCAGGCTTAAATCTGGAGCTTCATGGAGCCTTGAGAAGACTCAGGCTGGATCCAGGCTAATTGCAAAGCTACCAGAAGCTAAGACAAAGGCTGAGGTGGAAGGATGATTGTCCTTAATGAATACTTAAACAACCCACCCCTATGATGTAAAGACTATGAATATCATTTTGTCCATTTTATATATGAGGAAACTGAGATTGGAGTGACACTGTTGGTAAGGGCCAGGTCAGGCTCTGGACCAGGTCTTCTAGAATCCAATATATCAATATATCAAATTAATTCCAATATATCAAATCAAATGAATGGCCAAGCCAATGACAACTTGGCATATCAACAACTTCATAATAGAAAAAATAGCGAACTGGGAGTTAGAAGACATGATTGCTGTTCTTATCTCTGGCCCTCTCCGGCTGTGTGAACAAGACCACGTTCCTTTTCATCTCTCTAGGTCAAATGTCTAAAATGAGGGTTTGCCTAGATGACCTAAAGAGTCTCTTTAAAGTTCCGGGACACATTGCACAATCAAAAAGCAGTTATTAAGAACCTGCTATATGCCACGTACTGTGTTAGCTACTGGGTACACAAAAACCAAAATGAAATGGTTCCTGCCCTCAGGGAGCTTATATTTTATTGGAGAAAGCAATACATATGTTTAAATATACACAAAATATATATCAAACGAAGTGTTTGTTGTTGCTGTTGGGTGGTTGCAGTTTGATACTAGCAGCTGGTGGGATTAAGAAAGGCTTTGTATGGAAGATGAATGACTTTTTAGTTGAACTTTGAAGTAGACTGAGATTTCTCTGGTGAAGGGGTGATTTAAAGACATGGAGATAGAAACTGTGGGACAGGCAAACTAGTCCTATTTTGTATGTAAATGTTGAATGAACAATGAATCAAAGAACTGGGATGGAGTAGAGATACTTATGAGCAACTTCATATAAGAAAGACACTACTGGTTATAGAGGTAAACTTTCATCTCTCTCTGTCTTTTTACCTCACAGTTTAAATGCTGTGGCTTGATCGATGGAGCTGCTGACTGGGGAAAGAACTTCGACAAATATTCTGCATCATGTGAATGTACAAACACTACTAATACAGATGATATTTGTGTACGGTATATGGGAAAACTAGTTTACAAAGAGGTAAGAGCCAAATGAATTTGGCATGGTGAATAAGCAGATCTCTCGTTCTCTTTATGTGAAAGCATTTATCACAAAGACAATTTGAAACACTTCAAACAATAGTGTAAAAATTTAGAATTTTCTACATTAAAGAATCTTTTTGTCAAGAGCAAGAACATTAAGGCCGACATAAAGTTAACGATAAGTGAATGTAGCCACTTTTTTCCACGAGCTTGGCTTCATTTCTAGCCAACTCTGAACAATACTAGAGGTGAGTTCCATAATAGGAAGGAGGAGAAAAATTTAAAATGATCTGAGAGAAAAGGTCTATTCTCTAAAGTGATCTCGATTGCTGTTCTCTTGAAGTTTGCTTTTCAAGGTTTCACCACATAATTTAGAAGCAAAGAAACTTATCCTTTGGTAACTTCAAAACTTATTTTAAAGAAATAACTATTGATTTTTTAAAAGAATTAATTTATTTTGAATTATCAGTAATCACTTCCATAAGCTTTTGAGTTTTAAATTTTTCTCCACCTCCCTCCCCAAGACGGCATGCAATCTGATATAGGCTATACATATACATTCCTATTAAACATATTTTCACATTAGTGATGTTGTAAGTAAGAATTAGAACCAATAGGAGGAACCATCAGACAGAGGAAACAAAACATAACAGAAGAAAAAAAAAATAGCAAGTAGTATGCTTCAATCTGCATTCAAACTCCGTAGTTCTCTCTTTGGATATGGATAGCATTTTCCATCATGAGAACTTTGGAGATTTCTTAGATCCTTGCATTGCTGAGAAGGATGAAGTCTGTCAGTATTAGTCATCGCACAATGTGGTTGTTACTGTGTATAATGTTCTCCTGGTTCTGCTCACTTCACTCAGCATCAGACCATACAAATCTTTCCAGGTTTTTAGAAGTCAGCTTATAACTGTTGATTCTTACTGAGAAATTGGGAAGGATTTTCACAAATATGTAGAATTTTGAGTTTTAGCACATTCATTTGGCCCTTTAGAGTCATTGGCCCTAGTTAACCAGAAAACTAGGGAACTATTGAAATATAGCACTTTCTTGATGGTTGTAACACAAAGGTGTATTGATGGGATCTTTTAAATACAAAGTATAAATTATATGTAATTGACAAACTGACATTAATAAGGTTGTGTTCTATAATGACAGAAGGTTATATTTGGCACTGGCATCTTTCCCTGTACTGGCTACCCTAATGGAGAATTGAAAAACAACAAGGACAAAAAAAAGCTGGAGTGGGAAAAGAAAAAAAAAAATCAAAATTATTCCAACCTTTTTATCTGCTCTTATCAAAACATTAGCAGGTCTGTTCTGAAGAAGTTAATACTGCTGCTTTCAAGTACAGTAACTCACATTATGAACTTTAATGTCACATGACCAGTTTTCTAGTCCCACCACTCATTTTTGTGGGAAAACAGCTATACTATGCAAGTAAATATAGAATTATTTAACAATTTCTAGCTAGGCTTTTGGGAAAGCAAATACACATACTTTTCATAATATTTTTTTCTCCTGTTAAAGATTTATTCCTAAGACTTTCCTTCTTTAAGATTTTGAAAACCTCTATAATGATCTACAACCATTAAAAAAAACACCCTGTAAGTTCACACATAATTCAGTTGGATATAGGCTCACTGATATATCACTTTCCCAAAAAGCAGGTCATAAATTCACAAAATATTTCCATCTGCCTTGTGTCATTTGTGAAAAGTCTGGAAAACTACGAGTCCTGGAATGACCATAATTCATGTTTGCTTTATTTTTGTTTTTAGTTTTTGCAGAGATAACTGAACTGTCTGGGAAATAAAAATGTGATTCTTGTTTGACATGTTCATTAGTTTCCTAGTTAACTCTGAATGAATTGTAACAGTTTTCTAAATTGTGGATTCCATGTGAGTGGGAAAACAAGTTATGTGAAAGGATGAAGATTATGTAATGCCATCTTGTAGGGGCATTTAAAAAACAAATGGAATGTACTAAGTTAAAAAAAAATCAATTGTTCACACATTTACAATTATCGCCATACTAATCCTTGTGTCAAAAATGCCTGTGTTTGCTTTATGGGGGTGCCGTATTTCACTTGGCTCAAGCCCTCAAATTCAAACCTGAGGAAATCTCTCCATTGGACAACCCAAAAAGCTGATTCCACTTTTCCCTGCTTGCAAGTATTCTGGCCACCTACCATGTTAGAATTGCTATTTATTAGAAGAGAAAGAGAGAAACATTATGTAATGGAAGAGTTAAAGAGTTTTTCTACAACTCCACAACAGGGTGTGAAGGGGTATAAATGAGGTGTTAGATTTTCCTGATTGGCTGAGCAAATGAATTAGCTACCTTTCTGAAGACTTTGAATAGCTAAGCCAGTCAAGACTTGGAAACATTTTGTAGTGGAGATTTCTTTTAAAGGGGGAAGAAAGACTTTTCTTCTCCCTTCCCCCCACAATTTACCATAGTGTCTAGCAGTAATTTGACTAGAACAAGAAACTCCCTTCAGCAGTTTCAGAGTTTCTTGGTTCACAAGAATTCAAGTCAATTCAGGAAGGGGAGACAGTTGTAGATGGACAAAGGCAGTTGAAGCAGCTTAGAAGAATGGGTCCCTTGGCAGCAGAGAAGAGAGTCAGTTACCAACTCAAGGGAGCTATCCCTGGCAATCAAGAGTTGAATTGTGGAAATAGAACCTGGAAACATGATTCACCTGAAGATGATTGTGTGAATATTTTTCATAGAGAAAGGACTTCCAAGCCCTTCAGTAACAGTTGTGTTGTTACCTTTAACACACATATATATTATATTTGTGGCTTTTTACCATTGTGTTTGAGCTGATTCTTTTTGTGGATGATCTCTTTGTAAGGGAAAACTAGGGTTACAGGAAAAATATTTTGGAAATATTGCTTACACTATGCCATGTTAGAAAATACCTTCCCTAAGAAATGTCTGCTATCCGATTGTTAATGGGAAATCCACTGGTGGATGATTATTTTTTATAGTGTTAGGCTGGGTATCCCTTTCTTTGAACCTCAAGGTAATAGTAGCTACCTTCTACGGACTAAACTCACAAATGTGGAAGTTAGGGAGGTAGCCTAGAGGTGATACTAAATTATGCCATAGATAAGTCCCAGCAACTTCAGATCCCATGGTATTTCTTAACTTCCCAGAAAAAAAAATATTCCCAAGACACGATCTGAATTCCTCTGGACAAAGTGCCCATTCTCCTTTGGAACTCAGCTTTGCCTCAGCAAAAGAAAAGACAACAGTGCTTCCTTATGTTTGTACAGAATTTTTGAAATTTACCTGAATCTGGCAGTCCTTTTTACATTAGGAAGACAGTGTGGTACAACAGAGAGACCATTGGATTCAGATAGGAAACTTCACCACTTATTAACTGTGCAATCTCTGTTGTGTCAAATCGCCTCTGAGTTTAATTTCTTTATTGGCAAAATGGATATATTATGACAAATTGTTATCTCACAGGATTATAGAACTATCTTCTTATAGCTGGAAAGCACCTTAGAGGACATCTAGTCCAATTAAGTCATGGATGAAGAAATTAAGGCCCACAGAGGTTGTGACTTGTCCAAAGGCAACTAGCTAGTAAATGACTGAACCAGGATTTAAACCCAGGTTTTTCGACTCCAAATCCTAGAGGTCTTTCCATTATACCATGTTTCCTTCCTAATGTAGGAAATAAGACGTATTTGTAATTTGTTGCTATTATCCTTACTTTACATCCTTTCCCTATTGGTCCAGGGACCTTCAAGGCATCCCTGTTGATTTTCAATTTATTCTCACTAGGTATAAGTGTTCATTAATTTCTAGAGCTCTCAATGACCAGTTCTGGATTGGGATCTACCAATCCAAGGGGAGCTGTGTCCTCAACAGTTCCTGAGTCAATCATGTCTTAGATGCCTTCCTATAATTCTCTGAAATCACTATGGGAAGTTGGGACATTTTGAACTCAGGATTTTGGCTTGAGATTATTTATTAACCAGACTCCAATGGGACATTGCATATATTTTGCAAATATTTAAAGTATTGATGCTAATGTGTGAGCTACCTTTTACATTTTGATTGACTCTTGACTTTGTAATGTTCTGCTGGCCTACCAGCTTTAAGATTTACACAAATAAAACCCATTTTGATATAGAATGGACAAAAGGGACAACATTTGAAAATTCTTTTACTGATCCATAGTAAAATTGTAATTATGAATGTATCAGAGTTATGCTTAGATATCAATAATCTGGAAAGTTTGTTGCTTCATTAGGATATGCTTCCTCTACTGACATAGATCACACAATCAACCAAGGTTTATTAAGCACCTACTATGTGTCAAGGCACTATACTAGGAACTAGGGATACAAAGGCAAAAATAAAATAGTCCTTCTCTCCAGAACCTTACGCTATCAAAGAAGATAACACCTACACATATAAACACTGACAAAATATAAACTAAATACATGGTTAAATGCAATGGCATTAGTGAGGAGGGAGGGCACTAGCAATTAGGGAAATCTTGATAGGTGTCTTGTAGAAGGTAGTGTTTGAGTTGAATCTTAGAAAGTGATTCAGTGAGGAGGGAGTATATTCCAGGCATGAGGGATAACCACTGCAAAGGCATGGAAATAAGAAATGGGGTGCTATGTGTGAGGAAGAGCAAGAAATTCAGTGTGGCAAGAGTGTAGAGTATGGGGAGGGAAGTCATGAGCAGCTTTAAAACCAGAGGAGTTTATATCTTCTTAGATATAATAGGGAACTACTGTAATTTGTTGAGTAAGGAAGACATAGTCAGATATGCACTTAAGAAAAATTACTTTGTCAGGGCTTCCAGCTGCCTGAAGAGAGGCAGAGACCATCCAGTCCCCACATTCTCCTTCTAGTAAAAACTTAAGAATTGCATTAGATTTAATAGTGAAAACTACAGAAAGTGACTTCTTCAATCCCATACTAGACAATTACCCAAAGGCTCATGGGAAATAAGAAAGGTGGGTGTCAGGAAAGCCAGTGTCCATACCATACAGACAAACAAGATATTAACATCTCAACACACTAGAGCCAGAGAAACTCCTAGCCTATAAGGCTATGTATAAAAAAGGCATGGAAAATGGCTGCACTCAGAAAGATCAAGGGTCATTGGAAACCTACAGTATAGACTTTGGATGTGGCCAGAATTGGCAGTGAACAGTCTGGATGCTGCAGCTCTTACATAAAAATGCCAATCCCAAAGAACTCTTTGGATTTTTTCCTGAGATACCATAGAGGACCTTGAAGATCAAGTGCTCTAAAAAATCAAGGGGACCTAAACCTAGGAGGTAAAGGTCAATGTAGAGCCCAGGTGACCCAGAGTGAGGCCAAGCAGGGCTAACTACACCATCCAAAAGTGCAGCCGGGAGCAGAGCCTGGTTCTTGCAAAAAAGCCGCCATAAAGGATGCTAGAGAGATCATTAAACAGAAGTCATCCATCACCATAAATAATCATTTTGGATCCAGAGATAACCCCAAATCTCAACCCAGAAGGAGAGAGTAACTCCATAACTACAGACTAACTCAACTGAAAGGAGAAAAGATGAATTTTCCTCATGAGGGATTCATGAATACTTAGAAAAAAAAATGAAACAAGATAAAAGAAACGAGAAACTCAGAGGAAAGAAAGAATTGGAAGGAAAGTTTCCAACAAATGGAATCCCTGAAAATCATGACTCTATAAAACTGCAAGAAACATTAGAAAAAAAATCACGGGGCAGCTAGGTGGCACAGTGGATAGAACTCTGGCCTTGGAGTCAGGTTCCTGAGTTCAAATCCGAACTCAGACACTTGACACTTGTTAATTGTGTGACGCTGGGCAAGTCACTTAACTCTAGTTGCCTCACCAAAAAGCAAAAAAAAAAAAAAAAAAATCATAAGATTCAAAAAAAAAAATAGAAAAAAGTAAACTATCTGCTATCAAAAACAAGATAATTTAAGACTCATCTGACTCCCTAGAAACTTACAATATTTTCTGGGAGCACAGGACAAAGTGAAAAAAAAAAACAATCTACTAATCACTTCCTGAAAGAAACTCCCAAAAGAAATGTCACAAGAATTTCATGGCCATAATCAAGAGCTCTTGTGGTAAAGGAAAACACACTTTTTTTTTTTTTTTTTAATGAGGCATTTGGGGTTAAGTGACTTGCCCAGAGTCACACAGCTAGGAAGTATTATGTGTCTGAGGCCAGATTTGAGCTCAGATCTTCCTGACTCCAGGGCTGGTGCTCTATCCACTGTGCCACTTAGTTACCCCAGGAAAACATACTTTTAAACAACCAGAAAAAAAGGAGTTCTAAGTACCAAGAGGCCACAGGATCATATATGACCTGGAGGCTTCTTTTACAAATCAGTTATAGACTTCCAACCCAGATTACCTTTTCATGAGACAACTAAATATAATCCTACAGTGGGAAAAATGACCTTTAATCAAATGGAGAGCTTTTAGATAATTCTTGATGAAAAAAAGACCAGAGTTGAGTAGGATCTTTGAAGTGAAAACATGAGTCAAGCAAAATCTGGAAAAGTTGATTTATTTCAGCAATTGAAAGGGCCACAAGATAATATAATAGAAAATTCTGCTGGAGGAGAAGAAACAAGTGTGTTTTAGAACTTTAATGTCTTCAAAGGGTATTAGAGTTAAAAAAGGATCTGGGGGGGCATGTGGATTGATTTTTGTTCTGAAAGTTTTAAGAGGGGAAGAGCAAAAGGAATATATGCTGTAGGAAAAAGGAAGAATAAGAGAGTATGACTTGATATTGTTCACTTTTGGGGTGGGTGAGAAGAAGAGTATACAAACTTGGAGAAAATGGAGTAGGCATCAAACAAACCACTTTTATCTGAAATGGACAAGGGAAGGCGGATCACTGATCAAGGAGGAATTGAATCAGCATGACTCTGAGGTACCACATCACACCTGTCAGATTGGCCAACATGACAAAACAGGAAAATGATAAATGTTGGAAAAGATGTGGGAAAATTGGAACACTGATGCATTGTTGGTGGAGTTGTGAAATGATCCAACCATTTTGGAGAGCAATTTGGAACTATGCCCAAAGGACTATAAAAATGTTCATACCCTTTGACCCAGCAATAGCACTTCTAGGGCTATATCCCAAAGAGATCATACAAATGGGAAAAGGACCCACATGTACAAAAATATTCATAGCAGCTCTTTTTGTGATGGCAAATAACTGGAAATTAAGAGGATGCTCATCAGTTGGGGAATGGTTGAACAAGTTGTGGTATATGTGCTATAAGAAATGATGAACAGGCTGACTTGAGAAAAACCTGGAAAGACTTATATGGACTGATGCTGAGTGAAGTGAGCAGAACCAGGAGAACGCCATACACAGTAACAGTCATGTTGTGCGATGACTAATATTGATAGACTCAGCCCTTCTCAGTAATGCAAGGATCTAAGACTAATAGAAAATGCTATCCACATCCAAAGAAAGAACTGTGGAGTTTGAATGCAGATCAAACCATACTATTTGCTTTTTTTTCTTCTTCTGTTTTGTTTTGTTTCCTCTTTCTGATGGTTTCTCCTATTGGTTCTAATTCTTCCTCACAATATCACTAATGTGAAAATCTGTTGAATAAGAATGTATATATATATAACTTATATAAAATTTTGAGCTGTCTTGGGGAGGGAGAAGGAGAAAAATTTAAAACTCAAAAACTTAGGAAAGTGATTGCTGATAAATCAAAATAAATTAATAAAAAAAAAGGATGAAGTGGTTACAAGTAAAACAAACTTCCTAATCTTGAAGTGGGAATTAAAAGGAAGGAAAAAGACCTAGAATCTAAGGGGAAGAGGCCATCCATTGGAGAATGACTGAACGTATTGTGTTATATGAATGTAGTGAAATATTACTGAACCATAAGACATAACAAAAAAGGGTGATTTCAGAACATCCTGAAAAGTATGAAACTAATGCATAGCAAGGTGAGTAGAACAAGTAGAATGATTTATGTAAGGGAAACAAAACTGTTGAGGAAAATAACCTTAAAAAAACATAAGAAACTGATAAAGCAATGACCAACTGTATCTGCAGAGGGCCTTTGAAGCATGTTACCCAACTCCTGACAGAGAGGTGAGGGGCTTAAGCTCCAGAAAGAGACACATTTTTGGATATGGCCTCCGTGTGAATCTCTTTTTCTTTCTCTCTTCATTTTAATTGGAAAAGAAGGGAGATTAATAACAATGAAGTAGTGAAGCAAAAAAAAAAAAAAGAAGAAGAAAAGCAATTGGAACGAGATATAGAGCTTCATAGATCTTTGTACCTCATTCCTTTCTGCCATGTATATATTTTTAATTTAATTTTATTCATTTATTCATTTATTTTTCCTATGTAAATTCAGAATAGAATTTTGCAGCTATGTGGAGAGGGGAGAGAACTGAGGCTATTAGATTAATTAGAATCAAAACTTTTGTGTGCTTCAGTAAAGATGGTCTTTATAAGCAGCTGTCCTAAAAAGAAATTTATCACTTGGTCTATGCAATCAATATCTGGTTCTATTCCGTGTGTCTTTCAGGATCACTATTCTTCCCAGGCCGGCAGGACCTTCCAGAGCCTGTCTCCCAGTCTTTGTAAACAAGGGTTTCCTCTCTTACCTCAATAAAGTATCCAATTAGGACTTTAAGTACAAGTGGGATACCTAGAACTTCCTCTCCCTCTTTTTTTTTTTTTTTAAAGAAAACAAGTATAAGGACTAACAGGAAATTTATAGAAATTTTTATGTAAAAATAAGAATATAAAATATTTTAAATTCCATTTAAATTAGGAACTGATTGAGGTTAATTTGTATTAATTAGCAATCAGGAGAAAGATTTCTTTTTTAAATGGAATGTAAGCTTCTGAGCAAGGAGGGATTGTTATATTTATTTTTGTCTTTGTATTTTCAGTCCTTTGCACAGTACCTGGTGCATAGTAGATACTCATTAAATGCCTATTGATTGATTAACTGATTTAGAAGGTTGAGAGCAAAAAGTATGACTTAAGAACAAACAGAAAAAGAACCCCTGTATTTCTACTTAATTCCAAAGAAAAAATGTCTTAGTTTAATTCTTGTGTAAGTTCAAATAGTTTGTTGCTTTTTTTAGGCAGTTGATAAGCATTTTAAAGTACTTATTATATGTTGGGTACTGTGCTAGGCAGTAAGGATACCAAGAAGAGCAAAAGAAAGTCCCTGCCCTCCAGGAGCTCCCAGTCTGATGGGGGAAACAACATACATATGTATAGACAAGATATAGATAGGAGAGACTGGAGTTAATCTAGTCTGAACAAAGCAAGAGTCAGTACACTTCTTTGCTTTGTAGCAATTCAATTTGTCTTTGCTCCAGTGAATTTCTGTAGAGTAAACTCAGTTTAGTCTCCCAATTAAACAAATGCTGAAGTACATCATGTTGAAGACATTGGATAGGCACAGGGATGGAACATTACCTAGTCCCTGGCTTTGATGAACTTCAATTCTACTCTATTACATTATTCCAATTTTCTATTCTTTTTTTTTCTTTTTGGTTTTTGTTAGGCAATGGGGTTCAGTGACTTGCCCAGAGTCACACAGCTAGTAAGTGTTATGTGTCTGAGGCCAGATTTGAAGTCATGTCCTCCTGACTCTAAGGCTGGAGCTCTATCCACTGCGCCACCTAGCTGCCCCTAATTATTCCAATTTTCCAGTGCATCTGTTATCTCATCAATGCAGAGTCTTCTCTTCCCACCAATGCGGATTTTAATCTATTCATGATTATCTGTCCAACATAACTCTCTTGTACTAAGAAAGTTAACATATAAGCAAACCCTTCATAATATTAACCCCCCTCCTTTTTTTTTTTTTACAGACATGTGGTAACTATATTATAAATTTTTTGAAGAAAAATTTGATTATTGTTGCTGGAGTTGCATTTGGAGTGACAGTGATTGAGGTGAGTAGAATGTACTTTTTACTTCCAGTTTTGTCTTTCAGATTTGATCAGTGAAGGCCAGGGAGAAGGCTACTTTATGTGATTTCAGTATTAAAATCTAGGAATTAGCCTAGACTTCTCTCTTGTTTTTAATCTCAGTTGTCCTTTCCTAATGGGAAACAATTAAAAGTGAATCCAACTTTTATACATTTAGAGAAAAAAAAAAACATTAGAATTTCTCATCTCCCTGATTGGGGAATAGAAAATGGAAATTGAACCAGTGCAAGGCTTATGTCTCCCCACCCCACACCCCATTTCGTTTTAGTCAAGGCAAATGAGTCTTAGAAATTAAGTTGAACATTGCAACCCCATGCCCAATCCCCATCTTAGAGTAAGGAGCCTGAGTTCATTTTGATGAGCTTCTGTACATACCTTATGGATCAGCTAAGATTAATTAATCCCTCTCACTCATTTACTAATGTTAAATAAAAAAGGTACTGTACCTTGCTGGGGCTAGGGACTAGACCTGCTACTTCATTAGCACAGAGAACTCCCAAGACAGGAAATTTCTTCTGCCAATACAGGTCAGCATCTTTTCTATACCACTGAGAGTTTATGTGACTGGACAAAGGTCACAGGTCTAGAATGTGTTAGTATTAGAGGTGGGATGTGTGCCTACCTCTTCCTGTCTTTGAAAACAGTTCTCTATCCCCTGTACCACCCTGCATCCATACCTTTCCGAATGGGATTTTATTTTTATACATTTTCTTTTTATGGTTTGCACATTCTTGATAGTTCTTTTTTCATGTCTAAGAGAATAAAAGATGAATCATTTAGAGATATGTATTTTGCAATTTTTCCAAACCTTGGAAAACCGATAATTCATTTTTATATTCCTGATAACGATGTAGGTTCCCTTCCTCCTCCCCTGACCTCCTCTCCCTGCTCCCATTACAAATTGGGATCAGTGTTTCATGGCAGCCTATACACATGCTTTCCAAATGTCAACTTCTTCATTCCCATGAAATGCCATACAGTTTTCTCCCCAGAGTTTTTGTGTCACATTGACCTCTCATTGGAAACATAGCGTAGATAGGGAGGAATTTTACTGGGGACCATAGGTAGCTAAACCATTTAGAAAGGATGCCATTTAGGTGACTTTAGAAATGATGTCATTTCCCAGTCAAGTTTTTTGGGGAAAGGAAATGACAATGAACACTTAACTTGAGGGAAGAAACCCAGATAGATTCCCTGTTGGTTGAATTCTAAGGGTTAGAGCTAATTCTGACACTAAGTAGCTGTGTGACCTTAGGCAAATCATTTAACCTCTTTAGGCTTCAGTTTCCTTATCCGTAAAATGAAGTATTGAATAGATGACCTGGTATTCCCAATCCATGAACTAAATGAAATATCACCTTGGTTTTCTCATCTTAGTCTTTGTAAATTTGCCCTTGTTTCTGAAGTAAGAGCATGCTTCTTCTTCTTCTTTTTTTTTTTACCTCACTTGTGATTTCATCTGTGTAGAGAAACTCCTACTGTAAAAAAAAAAATAAATCCCTTTACTGGGATAGATCCGTAACTACTGTATAATCAAGATTTTGTAGGTCATTAGATCAGTCAGGTTCTTGCCATCATATTGCTACTATTTGTTAGAAACAGGTCTTACCCCCAGGTCTTCCTAACCCCAGTGCCTTCCACAGCATCATCATTACCTCTCTCCCAGCTGTGTGGAAATAGAAGCTATTGGTTACATAGATGAGGAGACAGCTAGAAGACCTAGGCTCCAGGTTCTCAGTCATGCTTTTCGACCTCAGAGACTTCACTCTTTCTACAGCAATCCTTAAATCAAAGGGGCAGCACATAAGGCGTAGTCCATGAGAGCCATGACCACATGGGATATTTTCTTAGTCTCCCTAAGGACAGCAGCAGTACAGGGAAATACCTTTTAAACACAGATCAAGTTATTCAGGGGGGATGGGGAGGGAAAAGGAAGGCACTTTATAGCAGCTCCACAATGGAAATGAGGTGTGACCATGTTCTGAGACATGCCACATAAATAAAGTGGGAGGTTTGGTCTTTCTAGTAGTCACTAAAATGGTTGCGAGTAGAGTAAAAATAAAAATGATCCATATAAAAAACTATAATTTGCTCAATTCATTAAACTGAATCTGTTTTTCAGGTATTAATCAAAGCGACTTTATTTTGTATTCCCTCAGGTGTCTTTCTTGGCTGTATTTGACTCCCTGTTTTAGGACAGCCTTGTAAAGAATTTCTGCCATTCTCCTTGTGAAAATTTGGCTCATAAAATGAGTGTTAGTCTTTCACACACTTGCTAAGTCTGCCTTCCTTTTGCTTAGCCCATCCTTAGCTTTTCTTACTGTTTTCTAAATAAGTCATTCAAGAAAATATAAACTTCTATTTAGAACAAATACATGTACTCAGGTTAAGGTCATCTAGCCCAACCCTTCATTTTAGAGATGAGGAAACAGACCCAGAGAGGTTAAATGTTGTGCTTAAGGTCACATAACTACTTAGTATCAGAGTTAGGATTTAAACTCTGATCATCTCATTTATTTTTATTTATTTATTTTTTTTGGTGCGGCAATTGGGGTTAAGTGACTTGCCCAGGGCCACACAGCTAGTAAGTGTTATGTGTCTGAGGCTGCATTGGAACTCAGGTCCTCCTGACTCCAGAACCGGTGGTCTATCCACTGCGCCACCTAGCTGCCCCCTGATCATCTCATTTAAAGCCAGTCTCACATGCTCTTCAAAAAATCTCACCAATTCAAAGAGAATTAGAAAAGACAAGTGATATTTTTGTTTGTTTAGATTAGATATCATTTACATCAGATTCTTAACTTTATTGTGTTCATTAACTACTATATAGACCCCTCTAGTAGTATGGTGAAGTTTATGGGTCCCTTCCCAGAAAAATGTTTTTAAATGCAAAAAATAAATTATAGAATTATAAAGGAAAGTAATCATTGAAATAGTTTCTTATATATATATATATATGTATATATATATATCTGTTTGCAGTGTATACACACACACACACACACATATACACGCATACACACATACACATATTTTAAAACTAAGCTCACATACTTCAGGTTGAGAGTCATTGTTTAGACCCTCAGTCTTGATCCTGAAAGATGTCTCCTAGAGTCAATAAAACACGTATTGAATTCCTACCTCTGGCATACTAGCCATGTGACTATGGACAAAGTGTTCAGGGTCTTATAAAATTCTCTAGGTTACAGACTAGCTTCTCATCTGCACTTGTGGAGAGAATTTAAAAGCCTTCATTATGATCACAAAGTTGGAGCTAGAAGACATCTTGGAAATTACCTTATTGAACTCCCTTATTATACAGATGAGCAACTGAGGTCCAGAGACATTAAGTAACTCACTGGATCTGATGCCAAGCCCCACATTGTTTCTACCCTGATTAAGTCACAGATCTCAAAGAAAAAACAAAACAAAAAAAAGGACCAAAATCCTATTGGTGCTGGCAAATTAGGTCTTGACTTGTGTTGATGTTTGTTAGGGTTGGAGACCACATTGATGACCTGTCTCTTGAATTTGCCCCCTTGAGCTAATATTTAAGATCAATTAAAATGATATATTTTCTTTTTTAAAACTTCTATCTTATTTTCCCTAGTTACATGTTAAAACAATTTTTTAACAATTTTTTTAAAGTTCTCAATTCTATCCCTCTCTCCCTACCTCCACATCCCTCTTCCTGAGACATTAAGCAATCAGACATAGGTTATACATATGCAATCATGTAAAACATTTGGATACTAAAATGCTGTATTTTCAAAGGAAATTCCCCTTCCAAAGAAATTTCCAGAGCCTTTGTCAGAATCTGAACTAAAAATAATCAGACTATTAGGTCTCCTCAATTGATTACTGCAGCCAGTGAGCATGGCAAGTTTGAGTAAAGAGTAAGCCTTAAAACCCAGAAGACCCCAGTGTAAATTCTGCCTTTGACTCATAGTGGTTGTATCACTCAGTGCTCTAGGCCAGTCTCTAATACCCTAGATTGCTGAGGTGATGACCTGCATTGTTAGAGGAAGTTTCCCCACCCAGGAATTTCTTATACAGATCCAATTGAAATCACAGATCCAATCTCTAACCCCAAGTGTTCGACTTGTCTGACAAAGGGCCACTGACCTTGTCAGTCAATACATCTAGAGAAAGGTGGCCCTAAGAAAGGCTAGCATGGTTGTTGCTCCCAGGAGCCCAGCAATCATGGATAAATGATGACTTTGAGCACTTGTTACAGAAAAAGCTCTGAAAAGTATGAACTTTTCTTCTAGAGAAGGGCATGACATTTTTGTTAGTTTACCATGAATATGAATGGCTTCTCTTAATTGTTTACTCATTCCCCAAATGACAATGGATTGTCTTTCTTCTTTTTTGTTTGTGATTTTTGCTAGGCAGTGGGGTTAAGTGACTTGCCCAGGGTCACACAGCTACTAAGTACCAAGTGTCTGAGGTTGGATTTGAACTCAGGTCCTTCTGACTCCAAGGCCAGGGCTCTATCCATTGTGCCACCTAGCTGTCCCTAGATTGTCATTCTTCTGACAACGTAATATGAGAAACTGAGTTACTGGTTGTCTGTTCAGCTAATGAATGCTCAGCTTTTGTTTCATGAATGGAGCAGTGAGTTTTTGTCCTCTTGCCTTTACCTATCATTTTGTTTATTTCCATTATTCTTTTTATGTATATTCTTACTTCCACCTCCTTTCTTCCCTGTTCTCCAAAGGCAAAATGAAAAATTTTAAGAACCATTTTTTCTAAAATTCAAACTAAAAATCTTATTTTGATGATGAAAAATTTTTTTTTTTTTTGTTTTTGGTGAAGCAATAGGGAAATGACTTGCCTAGGGTCACACAGCTAGTAAGTGTTGTATCTAAGGCTGGATTTGAACTTAAATCCTCCTGACTCCAGGGCCAGTGCTCTATCCACTGTGCCACCTAGCGGTCCCTTGAAAAGTCATTTTTTTAAGGGGGTATAGTGGATAAAGCTTCCATCTTGGAGTCAGGAGGACCTGAGTTCAAATCCAGCCTCAGACTCAGACCAGAAACACTTGACATTCACTAGCTGTGTGACCCTGGGCAAGTCACTTAACCTCAATTGCCTAAATAGAAAAATTGTCTTTTAAAGAGAAAAGTAGACACTGGCAATCATTTCTGATCCCCAACACTTAGAATCCCAAGTTTCTTTCAGTCAGTCCAAACATCACCATCTACATCTACATGAAGGTTTTTCTATTCCTTTTAAAATTCTGTTTTGCCTTCCTGACATTGATGAGATGCTTATTATTAGATGATTGTTACTATTAATGTTGTCTCTTGGAAGGTGTGATTTCTTTTGTCATTCCTAGTACAGGAGGGATAGCTAGCATGATTTTCCAAATATACTTCAAAGGATTCCATACCAACTAATGAACAGTACTCAGGTTTCTGACCAATTATTCTCTTTATTATTTATTGCTAAGCTGAAGTTTGAAACTTCAGAAAATAACTTTTCAGTCCTAATATTAAAACTTATGAAAGTTAGTATCTTTGTTATTTTGCTATTTTCAGATTTCTTAAAGATGCTTCATAATTATGTAAAATATTCAATTATATGTTCTTGATTAAAAAAAAAAGAATATAAAGACAATTTTTTTTTTAGATTTGGCAGTTGGAAGAGATGAGTTTTAGTTCAACGGTGAGAGGTCAAAAACCAGTTCTCATAGAGTTTAGAAGAGGCAGTGATGGGGGCAACTAGGTGGCGCAGTGCATGGAGCACAGGCTCTGAAGTCGGGAAGACCTGAGTTCAAATCTGGCCTCTGACCAAACACTTAATACTTACTAGCTGTGTGGCCCTGGGCAAGTCACTTAATCCCAATTATTTAAAAAAAAGAAAAAAGAAGAAGGAGGGGCAGTGAGATGGCACGGTGGATAGAGCCACTGGACTTGGAGTCAAAAAATCGTAAATTCAAATCCTGCCTCAGACATTTAACTAGCTGTGTTACTCTGGGCAAGTCACTTAACCTCAGTTTCCTCATCTGTAAAATGGGGATGCTAGAAATAACACCTTACAATATTGTTGTAAGGATCAAATAATACATGTGTAAAGTGCTTTGCAAACTTCATAGCACTATATAAATAATAGTTATTTATTATTATTATTGAGAGTGGAAAGAAGCTAGTACATAATAGGTACTCAACTGATTAATTCATCCATGGACGGAACTCCTAATTCAGTCGACTGGGTCACTGATAGCTCAAATGACTTGTCCATGGTCACACAGCTAGTATGTATCAGAGACAGGATTTGAAAGCCAATCTTTTCGATTATAAATCCAGTCATTTTTCCACTACACTATGTTGTTTCTCATTACTGAAGCCTATTGTGCAGAAGAGGCCATCTCTTAGTTTTGGTTTTGCTTTTATAATGCTTGGAATCTTATGTTGTAGAATCCTTATTTAAACAGATTGCCTAAACCTAAGGTCCCCAAGTTCTTTATGGCTACTTTTGTGTTCTCTAAGTCTTTGATTTAGGAAGCATAGAGGTCTAGAGATGATGCTGAGAGTGGATTTCCTTGAGGAAGGTGCTGATCTGGTATCTGTGGTAGTAAGTAGATTCTGTGACACTGAGGCAATAAACTTGGAAAACTGAATTTGGAATTTTTTGACCTAGAGTTTGGACTCTGGTCTATCATGTACCTGTAACTTGTGTTACTTTGGGCAAGCCACTTAGCCTCTCGTGGCCTCAGTTTTTTTATCTGAAAAAAGAGAGTTGGATGGGATGACTTTTGAAGTCCTTTCCAGTTTTGAACCTATGATCCTATGATATTACAATGCCAGTATGCCCACCTTCAATTCTGGAATTAAAGAAGGAGGAGGTGGGAGAGCAGATAGTGACATCATAGTGGTTGTCACTCCTGTAGGAACCATAATGGAATTCACAATTAATTGATTGAAGACATTTGTTCTAAAGAGATAAACATCAATCTATGTTATCAATGCTATTTTATTCCATCTAAGTGTCCTGCCACTCAAAAAGAAAGTCACCAATGTTCCAAATGGTTGAGTAAGATCAGTCCTGAAGGTGTCTACTACAGCCATTTTTTAAAATATTTGAAAGACTGCCACACAGAAGAGGCATTAGATTTGTTCTTTTGAACCTTTGGGGAAAGAGCTAGTAACAATAAATAGAAGCAGTGAAGAGTAAATTTAGGCTGGATAGCTAAAAAAACTCAATTGGAGCCATCCAGAAGTGGAATGGACTGCCTCAGGTTATGGTGGATTTTCCTGCTCTCATGGTTAAGGGAAGAGGGGTCTTTTTGAAGAGGTTAGATGAACACTTGGGTCATATGTTATAGTGTGGATTCTCAGATACATGTTTGACTGGACAGATAGATAAAGGATATGGATATGGATAAATAGCTGAAAAATAGATATAGTTGAAAGATGTTGGAGATGATCAATAAATGGGTAGATAGATGAAACATTTCTTACGAGTTTACTTATTTTCCAGGTTTTGTACTAAGGGCTATTGGGCTAAGGCTTTGTGCTAAGGGATAATCATGCAAATAGCATGATTGTACCTAGCCTTAAAAGACGATATGCTAAATGAGGGAACTTGGAAAGTGGTGGGGGTTGGGGTAAGTGTCAGGGTAGTGGTAGGATGTTGAGATGGCAAGATATGGGGAAAGTTGACTCATCAGAGGGCTGGGTAATCCGTTGTTGATTCTGTAGCAGTAATCTCTTGGAACCAGTGACTTTTTTTTTCAAAACCCCCACATAATGTATGCTTTTTCTTTTTCTAGATACTTGGTTTGGTGTTTTCCATGGTCTTATACTGCCAGATTGGGAGAAAATGAAACTACAGGAGTTAAACTGTTACCCACAAAATCTGCCTTTTAACAATTTGCTTTGCTCCTTAAAAAAAAAATGCAACTTTGTCAAGAAGCATTCAGTTTATGAAAATACTACATTTTGATAAAAGCATGGGTAATTTCATTATGTATCAGAAGTCTTTAAGAGTTAAGTGACATAATGATATGAATGTATATTTTTATTTGGAATTAAAACACATTTTTGTTTTAATTGACTTATTTCCTTTGATCATTGTGTTCAGGTGTTAATGCGTTTTAAATGTTCATTTGGAGCTATTTGATAGAACAATCTTGATCTCCAAGTGACCGAACAATTATTTGAAATTATAAATCTGAGCTTTTCTGAAATTACTAGTTTTTCATCTTTTTTATGGTTTGGAATATACTCAGTGTAAAATGGTTGGATTGACTTTGTAGCTGAAATCTAGTACAGGCTTCTCATTTTACAATGGGGATAACTGATGGTCAGAAACATAAAATGATTTACTCAGGGTAACACAATTACCTGACAGGTTTAGTACTCAAACCATGATTTCTTGAATCTCCAATTAATAGGATTATAGAATTAGATCTGAAAGGAACTTTAGAGGTCACTCTAATCTACCCTCTACCCTCATTCTGCAGATAAGAAAACTGAAATTCAGAGAGGCTAAGTAACCTGCTCATAGCTAGTGTCCAACAGCAACCCCTTATTCCTAACTCAGTCAAAATATGGAGATCTTTCAGGCAGTTGTGTTCCGTGGCCTGCTTGTATAAGACTGCCCCACCCCACTGCCTACCTCTTCTCCAGTGCTTGTCTCTGTTCTTAATCTAGTAGCTCTCCTGCCGTACCATCTTGAATCATTTCAGAGATCGTAAATTTAGAACCTGAAGGGACAGCAGAAGTCACCTAGTCCAGTCCCATCTTTGTTACTTACGAGAAAACTGATTCCCAAGAAAATTGTGTAAGATTACTTGGATAATAAGTACTGGAGGCAAGATTTGAATCCAGGCCCTCTGACTCCAAAGACAAGACTCCTTCTGCTGTTCCAAGCTTTAATAGAGCATAAGGAAGTAGAAACAGCCTATATTGCAATGGCTGGCCTTTTTGACAAATGTTCATTGGTAAATAAATCAGTGCAGTGATCCATTGGAAAGTATGAGGTTCATTGAAAAGACTTGGATTTTTAAACCTGTCTCAGATATTTACCAGATGTATGACCCTTGGCAGGTCTTTTAACCTCAGTCTTCTTAGTTGTAAAATGGAAGTAACTAGTACTTACCTTATAATGGGAGGGGGCATCATGGAATGTGTGTGAGATATACATAGGACAATAATTGGTTGGAAATCAAGTGGAAATTCAGAATTTTCTTCACAAAGTACATAGGTTTTTCTAGCTAAGGAAATCATTCTGACTCAATGTCTTACATCATGGAGCTTTAGAAATGTTAGAGAACTTGAAGAGCACAAATTACAAAGAGTGTATAAAGCTACCTTCTGGTATTGATAACTTATAATTCCAGTGCTTTTTGAAAAGGAGTTTCTGCTTAGAGAACATCAGAATCAAAGAAGGACACCTAGAGGCCTTTAGTTTTTCATAAAGACGTGGATCAGTTATGATGAAATCATTGAAATGTCAGCCTAGGAAACCAAATCAGGGAGACTTAAAACAACAACAATAACAACAAAATAGGCTTCCTGGCTCAATGTGGCAATGTTTATTTTATCTAAAACAATTTTTGTTTCGTCAAAGATCTTTTGGAATTTGGGCTAAATAAGCCTATGAATCCTTTGCTATAAATGCATAAAGTATAGGATTATTAAGAAAACTGTATAGTTAAGAAAATATTTAAAAACAAGTTCATAATTGGAGGTTAAGAACACTTGACCTAAGAGAAGTATCTTTATTAAGATTAAGACCTTTGGATTGGACAATTTTTTAAAAATTTTTATTGTGATTGATAAAATTAAATGTGTGGACAGCAAAGTAGACACCCAAGTAGATGGAGATTGGCTAAACAAATTGTGATACATAAATGTAATGAATAATACTATGTTATATGAAACAATGTGAAGAATACAGAGATGTATTAGAAAGATTTATGCGTCTATGCTAAGTAGAGTAAGTAGGATCAGGAAATCAGTGTACACATTACAAAAAATAAATGGAAAGAAGAGGAAAAAATGAAACTGAATATCATGTAATTAAGCCTGAACACTGCAACTAAGCTTGGCCCCAAAGAGATGAAAAAACGCACCTTCCTACCTCCTTTGAAAAGGACTGTGTGTGTGTGTGTGTGTGTGTGTGTGTGTGTGTGTGAAGGAGGGGTTTGGTACTATGAGTGGACTGTTGGATTCACTGTAATAGTTGACACATTGGTTAGTCTTACTGAACTACTCTCAAAAAATTCCACATTGAGTGTACGCTTATAGCCAAATTTTGGGAGGACATGGATGAAGATGACAGAGATGGGTTCAAATGGATAGGTTATAAACTTCATTATTGGACTGATAAGATCACAGATCCATCTGAGTACTTGGGTTTTGTTTTTTTCTTATTCTTAGTTATGTAGAACCCTTTCCAGGTAAAGAAGTGGGGAAGGATATATTTGAAAGTGAAGAGGATAAAAAATCAGTAATTTTTTTTTTCAAAATAAAAGATAATCCATCCCTTCACCTTCCAGGCCTAGAATTCCTGAAATGGAATCTGGTGTTAAATCTATCACATAAATCATTGTTTTCCACAGTGAATGGATCCAAAGTTCCATCTAGCTGTCAGGTGTAATCAGTGGAACCAAGTAGCCAGAATAAAGATAATGGGCCAAGAAACGCCCCGTAAAATGGCAAAAAGGAATTACAAATGTCAATTCCAGGGATGTTTGAAAAGTACAGGAACAAGAAGAGTAATTAGACAACCCTAGTCATCTTTGCCAGGCAAGGTGAGACCCAAATAAGTCATTTCTATTTAGTGCTATCTGACGATCAGCCACAGCAAAACCAAAAGGCACAGCTAAGTAAAGTGAACACGACATTAGACCAGGCTCCAAATACCTCCACAGGAATTTTGTGACACTATTTCAAAGAATTCCAGTACAGCCTGCTATGTTCCACAAGGATTAAATAACTGGAAAACAGGTTTGAGTTCTTGGAAAAGTTTAAGCCTACAATTTTCAGGCATCTTCTTAACAAATTAATAACTGGAAACTAGAACTTTAAAAAGAAGAGATAACTTAAAAATGACAATAACATGACAATAAACTTGTAGTGGACTTAGGTGAATTGAACGAAACCCAGCAAGTTCTTAGAAACAATAAATATCAGTTTTACTTAATGGCATGGAATGATGTAGCATTTACTGGATGAATGGAGAAAGGAAGAGTCTCTTGGGCCTGGGACTTGGAGACTTAATCTGTATTTTTGGTTTTGGAAGTCGCTTTGTATGACATTGGCTAACTTTTTAAATCTTTACTTACATCTCGTTTTTCTTACTAATTGCCTTAGTGGTTTTGAAAGACTAATGATTTCTCAGACACTGAGAAAGAAGGTGTGAAAGTTTGATTCTTGGAGTGTATCCAGCTACACAAATTAAAAAAAAAAATCTCAACAGCAGCACATATACATCAAACCCTCTAGCTGAACAGCATTCTTTAACTCATTTAATTTACTTTCATATGTAGATAATTCATTTTGCAGAATGCCTTTATGGTTATATGTTAACACACATTTATACCTGGTTAAACATTATTATTTTGTGTTTTTGTTTTTGGAAAAAGGATTTGAGGTGGTGAGGGTAGGCTATTTTGTTTTGGACTGGGTCTATGATTTCATCAGTATGCAAATATCCTGATAAAAATATCATTTCATTTACAATTTATATTCTTCAAGGATTGCCTGGGGTTCTGAAAGTTTGAAGTGACTTTCCAAGGGTCATACAGTCAATGGGTGTCAGAGGGAGGGCTTCCTGATTATAAATAAGGCTGACTCTATTAAATATCATGCTGTTACCTGGGAGTTTGATTATGTACTGATAATGTGACTGCTTTTGAGAATCACTACTTAAATTACAATACTTAGTGCCTTCTTTGGGAAAAAATGATGCTAAAATAAGCAAAATACCCTAGATTCCAATGGGTCTTTGAATATAAAGTAGATCTATTTTCTCATTTTCCCTTGTCATTTAAAGCCCGTCACCATCTGTCTCTGGCCTACCTTTCCTGATTTATTTTGCATTATTTCCTTTCGTAACCTCCAGTTTCAATTCATCTGGCCAATTTGGTGTTCTGTGAACACAACATTCTGACTCCTTCCTCCGTGTTTGTGTATACCATCCCACATCTCTGGAATGAACTCCGTCCTCACCTCTGTTTTAATATCCCTGCCTTCCTTTATGATTAGCTCTGGAGTTATCTCTTTCATGAAGCCTTTCCTGAATACCAAAGTTGATGCTGCCCTGTCCCTCTGTACATTACTTTGTATTTGCTAGAAGCGAGTGTGTATGTGTGCCCATAGTACATGTGTGAATATATACAAAGTATATGGATATAAAAGTAATCACATAATTTGAGAGTTTGAGAGGATCTTAGTGACCATCTATGTGGGCTAACCCATAAACAAAACTCAGTGTAACATACTTGTCAGGTGTTTGTCTGGGTTCTGCTTAAAGACCTCCAAGGAGGGAGATACTACCACCTATCCGGATATCAATCAATCAATAAAGATTTATTATTGTTCCAGGCATTGTGCTAAGCCCGGAGGATACAAAAAGAGACAAAAATAGTCTCTGTCTTCAAGGAACTACAATCTAATGGGTGAGACAACATGAAACCAAATATAGACAAGCTATATCCAGGAAAAATAGGAAATAATTGAGAGGGCACTAGAATTCAGAGAGGTTTGGGGAAGGCTTCCTGTAGAAGGTGAGATTTTAGTGTTGTTTGAAAGGAGGGAAGCTGGTAGGCAGAATTGAAGAGAGTGTTATAGACATGGGAGACACGAGAGGAAATGCCCCGAGTCGAGAGATGGAAGGCCTTGTTCATGAAACAGCCAGGAAGTCAGGGTGAGTGAATGGAACAGTCCATGGCAGAGAGTAGTGGAACTATACCCAGTACAATAGAATAGGTTCTACCTTAGTATAGCTCTAATTGTTAGGAAGTTTTTCCTGACATTTAGCCTAATCTTGCCTCTTTTCAACTTCCCCCCATTGCTTCTGGCTCTGCTTTCTGTGGCCTAAT